ATCCTTCCGCCTCAGCCTTCCGAGTAGCTGGAATTACAGGTGCGCACTACCACGCCCGGCTGATTTTTTGATTTTATTGTAGAGATGAGGTCTCGCCTGCCCAGGCGGGTCTCGAACCCGCGGGCTCGGGCAGTCCATTCACCTCAGCCTCCCAAAGGCATGGGATTACAGACAGAGCCACCGAGCCTGGCTCATTTTTAATTTTTTTTTGAGAGACAGGGTCTCACTGTGTTACCCAGGCTGGTCTCAGACTCCTGGGCTCCTCCCACCTCAGCTTTCCAAAGTGCTGGGATTACAGATGTGAGCCACGGCATCTGACCAGACAGTATATCCCTATCCCCATAACGACCACAGTTGTCTTTTTCACATTGGCTCTCTCTATGGGGCCTGTGGTTTGGGGGTTGGGATTAGTGAGGTCTCTGCCCCTCCCCGGTGACCACACCCCCTCTCCTCCATCCCCAGGAGGACAAGAGCCTGGTTCACGGTAATGTGTGTGGCCGGAACATTCTACTGGCACGATTGGGGCTGTCAGAAGGCACCAGCCCCTTCATCAAGCTGAGCGACCCCGGCGTGGGCCTGTGTGCCCTCTCCAGGGAAGGTGAGCACCCAAGGGGGGCTGGGCACATGAAGGGATTTCCCCTACGCCCTCCACCCTTGGTGACCTCTGACCCTGGCCCCCAGAGCAGATCGAGCGGATACCCTGGCTGGCACCTGAGTGCCTGCTGGTTGGGGCCAGCAGTCTGAGCACTGCCACCGACAAGTGGGGCTTTGGTGCCAGCCTCCTGGAGATCTGCTTTGACGGGGAGGTGCCCCTGCAGGGCTGCGGCCCCTCTGAGGTATGTCCGGGGACCCTGGGCTCTTCCTGCAAAGGGGCCCTGGCCCTCCAAGGAGTCTAGAGGGCAGCATTTGAGTCCAGAGCTGTGGGGCTGCCCATGTCTCTGGCCTTCCATCAGGGGTCTACCAGTCAGGGTTAATTGCAGGAAGGTCCTGGTGGAAATCGGTTGTGCCTGGTGCGCAGCAAGCATCATGCTTCAGTTTCAGGGAGTGTGACCAGGGCAGTGATGGGGAGACATGGGCTGGGGCGGGGAGGCGAGGTGGGAGAGAGGATACCCCTCACCCTGCAGAGGGGTCATACAAGGCTTCCCAGAAGAGGTTATATCTAAGTGCACAATTGTGCCAGTGAGGCCAGGTGTGCCTCATGCCTGTAATGCCAGAACTACTTTGGGAGACTGAGGCAGGAGGATTACATGAGCCCAGGGGTTTGACACCAGCCTGGGCAACAAAACAAGACCTTGTCTTTAGCAAAAAAAAAAAAAAAAAAAAAAA